TAAAAATATTGACTTACAGGACTTAAGTCAATAAAAGTAAAAGTCAGATCAATAAAAGTATATGAGAGTTAATTTTATAATTGTTTCAAAGTAATAGATATAGTTCTAATACAGATTTCACCAAAATGGGTGTGATACAAGCTGGTCCAATTATATCTGTCATCTTGTTTTTCTCACATTTATTGAAAATAATAAAGACACGTGAGGAAACCTTACCTTCTTGATAGGCTCCATCTGCCATGACTAAATGAAGAATCTTGGCGTAAAGATGCTGATGTTCATTTCCCAAAATATTTTGAGCTATTTTTGAACAAATTTCAATATTTTCATCTTCATCTTCATGAACAGCCTATACCAAATCCCCAAATATAAATTAATATTTGAATAACTTTCTCTAATTGGAGACTTCACTTTTTACTTAAAAGAAATCCAATGACCAATAAAGATCAACATTTTTCTAGTACTCAAACAGAGCATATTTTAAAAGTAAACGTTTTAATTGACATTTTACTGACCTTTATTTTCTCATACGCCTCAAAGAACTTTTCAAAGCCCATTTCTTGCTCCAGGTGAAGTCTCAGTTCCTCTAAATGGCTGAAGACACTGTCGTACTCGCATTCACTTGGAATTTCACCATCACTGTTATCTAAAAACATACCATAAAAAGAAGGTATTTTATGATTAAAAAGTAGGACTGAATAACATAATTCCTACCTTAATAGACTAAAATTCTATGACAAGTGAATAATGCCACTGAAGTAGACTACTTCTACTTTTAATATAAAGATTTTTGTCACTATAATATTTGTCATTTATATAGGTAAGCAAAACACGTATAAATCTGTCTCAACAAGAATGTTACTTTGGGAATCTTTTATTTTATAGACATAAACAGTAAATCGGGTTAGAATAAAACTATTCTGACTGAGTGTGGTGGCTCACATCTGTAATCATAGCACTCCGGGAGGCTAAGGCAGAAGGACTGCTCGAGGTTAGGAGTTTGAGGCCAGCCTGAGCATCACAGGAAGACCCTGTCTCTACAAAAACATAAAAATTAGCCAGGCGTGGTGGTGCACACCTGTGGTCCTAGCTACTTGGGAGGCTGACATGTGAGGATCTCTTAAGCCTGGGAGTTGGAAGAGGCAGTGAGCTATGATCGTGCCATTGTTCTCCAGCCTGGGTGACAGATCAAGATCCCGTCTCAAAAAACAAACAAAAATTCCTAGTGATGTCATTCATTTAGTAAAAAATGGAAAAAGCATATTTCTGTGTTCTGGTTTGATGCAAACAACCCTGACTGCTATTTTTTTAAAGTTGATAATAAACATGGGCTATAGCATGAAAAAGTATACAGAAGGCAGACAACCTAAGATACCCATCATAAAATTTTAGGAAAACACCTAGAAAGTATTATAAATGTCCAGTATGTTTTGTCATGTACACACTCCAGATACTTTGAAAAGAAATTATTACAGAATCTTTTCACTATTAGCTCTTCTTTCCAAATAAATGTTATATAGTTATTGAAATATACAGATTTTCTATGCATCTTAGGGGTAATGCTATGAATAAACAATAGTTTTCAAATTAAAAAAAAAAAGAGTGATAAGATTTTAAAAACTGCTTTCTGTATTAACCCTGCTAATGAACCACTACATGTGGAAGCTCTTTGTAAAACATAAAGTGGTAAGAAAACTAAGTTATTATCTTTATTATTGGAAAAATAAGAAATGGAGAACAATGGAAAAATAAGAAATGGAGAACAAAGAACAAAAATGCTTCAAAAAAGCATTACTATAATCTAATGGGGAAGAAACGGAAAATTTAATGGAAAGAAATGGAAAACTGTACATTTGTGTGAAAAAGAAAAGAACGAAAAAAGGGTGGAGACAAAAGAGCACACTTCAGTTTTATTTAACACATTAACTGCCATGTGAGTTGTATTTGACTCAAGCCAGTTTTGAGCCTGAGGCCTCATGAAGCATGTGTAACTCACTCATCTGTTTACTTTGGGAGCTTTTTGCTGTGCAGGCAACTCACGCTGTCATGCTGTAGCATACACGTTACATGATGGGTGGTCCCCTGGGAAAACCCTCCATTGGTTTGTGAAAATTTTACTTGTTGATATGTTCTTATTGTTGCAATTAATATTGACAATTTAATTGCATATAATTCACGTAAGGAAACAATAAAAAATAGTAAATTTTTCATTAAATTAGAAAGGATCATTTTGTTTTTGAAGTTTTTATTCTATTTTCATTAAAAAAACACCATGGCCCCAAGGAAAATAATTTGTTTTCTAGTGTGGCAGTCAGTGTGTTGAAGTTGGAAATGGTTTATATCAGATATTGAAAAAATACACTCCACTTGAAATGTCTGTACACACGGAAGGAGGCCCATGACCATGATCACGCACCTGAGTGCCACTCTTCGTTCAGCGCGCTTTCACTGCTGGGATTGTCGTCCTCCTCCGCCAGATCTGTGCCTTCGCCAGTCTGGTCCGCATCACTGTTCTTGAAGGTCGACTCCTCTTCCTCACTGTACTCACCAGGCTGCTCCCTAAGTAACTGCTCCATGGAGGCCTGAAGCTCTTGTAAATCTGTGTCCGTTTCTTCAAACACACTGAAATTTAAAAAAAGTTAAACTAAATATCACTACAACTTTACCTTATTCTTAAATTTTACTTCAATTCAATATACAGGCACTCCCTTCTACTTAAAGGTACTAATAGTAGATAAAAAGAAATCTGAACAAAACCTGAATTACTTTCACCAGGAAACTGAGGATTAGTACATTGATAAACACGGCACGCAATGCACATATTCTGGAATACAGAGGCCAGAAGATGACTTGTTTAAAATGGTCCTAATTTGCCAGAGAATCACAGAACTATCAACAGTATTCATTACTTAAATTTTGAAATAATGTTTTGATATTTTAAGAGGTCAGACTTACAGGTTTTTTACTTGCTTTCTAAAACAAATATACTCAAATGTTTTCCTTTTACATAGTTTTGAAATTTCCAAAATTCTCATGTGGGTTTTACAACAGTTGTACACTACACGGAAGGCTTTCTGTATTTTAGAAATAGAAATACTTAGGGAATTGTATGTTCAGGTTAACAGGATGATCCAGTGAATAAAATGGTCACCAGAAACCTTATCTTTAGATGCTTATTTTTTTTCCCTAAAGCAACAGCCATTTATTGAGCCCAACAAATGTGCAGGTTGGCGGTTTGGCCAGAGTTCGTCTGGGCAGTTCCTGTGGTCTGGGCCAGGTATAGCTGAGGTTCACTGGGTTCACTCGGGTAGATGCTTGTTCTTGAAAATGTTCTAAAATACATAGTAAGTAGACTTTCCTGTGTAAATAGAATGTGCTAACCGTCATAAACTTCATGGGAGTAGCTTGTTTACAAGGTATTGGTCAGGATATTAATTCTATTTTCATGGGATTATAGATGCTGGGATGAACTGATATATACAAATAATACCTTACATTTACATAGTATGTTAGTTTGTTTATTAAGCAGTTTTATCCTATTATTTAAATTTTATCCAAACAAACCTTTAGAGACATGGAAACTATGAACCAAAGTGTTTAAATGACTTGCTCAAGCCCACGCAGTCAGTAAATGGCAAACAGAGGACTGAAATGTAGGTCTCTGATCACTCCTCTTAACACCCAGGAAACACACTCGTGGACTTTTTTCCTCTTATGATTTGCTTCTTTATCTTAAAGTGACATACAAATGGAGAAGTTTGTAGACTAAGAGAGTTAATTGAGGTTCTAGATGTCTGAAGACATCTCAAATTGAGGATTTCATCTACCAGAAAAGCAACGCCAAACAGGACACCAGGGCTGATAAAGGCTTTTCTAAAAGTTTAGACCCAACTCAAACAAACATTTACTGAAGAACTAAAATATAAATGGTATTACACAAGACCATCAATAAAGTTTCCATTAATAGGAAAAGTAAATTATCTTTTTATATAGCAATAACTTTATTTTGTACTTGTGTGTAAAACTCCTACAATTTGACCTTATAGAAGCTATAGAAAAGCAAAGCATCTAATTAGAATGAGAAAAAAGTGTCTAATCTCTTGGATCACCCCCCTAGCAGCATTTAACTTAATGTCTACTTACAAGACTAACTTGGCAGGCACACCTGCTATGAACTATTACTACAGTGACTAACATTGACCTGTTGATAAAATCTTCTAGCGGCTAGCCTAGAGGAATTCGTACTCTCCAGAGAAGGAGTCTGTGCCCTCTGCAGATGGTGTTCAACTAAGCAAGGCTGCTAAGCCTGCCACTGTAAGAAAAATAAGAGAAAATAAAGATCTTTTATGAAATGAGCACTCAAAAAACTTCAAGATACTTAAAAGTCGGGTCCTTAATTCATTTTTTAACTGGCTTTCTTATTATAAAAATCTTCAAGTGAAGTTTGGGGCTGGATGTGGTGGTTCACACCTATAATCCCAGCACTTTGGGAGGCAGAGGCGGGAGGATGACTTGAGGCCAGGAGTTCAAGACCAGCCTGGGAAACATGGTGAGACCCAAAAAAAAGAAGAAGAAGAAAAAAAATTAGCTGGGCATGGTGGTGCGTGACTGTTGTCCCAGCTACTTGGGAGGCTGAGGCAGGAGGATTGCTTAAACCCAGGAGTTTGAGGCTATAGTGAGCTATGATGAGGCCACTGCACTCCAGCCCGGGCGACAGAGAGAAACCCTGTCTCTTAAAAAAAAAAAATACATAAAACCATGAGTAAAGTTTGGATCAAAAGAAATTTCCAAAGAAAAACATCAAGTGAAATTTTCCTATATAAATATGAAATAACTTACTTTAAAAGATAACTTAGTTTTCAAATTTTTCAATTAATACTAAAAGCTTCTAACTTAAATTTTAAAATAAAATTCTGTCATCAACTAATAATTAAAAGGACACAAGTCACAAATAAGCTATAGTTCACGCAGATAAAAATCAATGATTTTATAAAAATTTTGAGGGAAAAAACCTGTTCCCTAGCACTTTGTCAACAATAAAGATGCTGAATGTTGTTGTGTTCTCCGATAGAGTTAATAAAAACACAAAATTAAAGTGCTTAATATCCACAGTCAAGTAGAAGAAACAAAGATAAAAAGGTAACTTTTCCTCCAAATTGTGAGGTCACTAGTTAAAATCTACAGAACACTATGAAAAACGGAAAAAAAAGGGCAATGTTTTAAAAATAAAGTTTCATTAGAAATTTATGAAGCAAGGTGCAAGGCTTAAAAAAACCAAAAGCCATAAAATTAATCGTGCCAGCTGCAGTGACCCTGGCTCACTCACAGAGGAACAGTTGTGACACTGATACAAACTTCCAACGAGTCAAAGCAGAACTTCTTCTATTCAAAGGCAGAGCTAAAAAGCAGAAACTTTAGGTCAAAAAAATTTTACAAAATAAATCATACAAATTCTAATATCTTATAACTTATTCTGCAGGTGATTTGAATACACTGCATCTTCTTGTCCATTTCATTCCGGGATACTCTCGTTGTATGTCCCCAAACAGTCTGTACCATTTGTCTGAGGGGCTGAGAGGGCTGATGAGTACTGAAGGAGGCAAAGGAGGATAATTATCTAAGGGGCCTCCTTCCCCACAGCTCTCAGAAGTATTGTTGGTTAAATTTCCTTTCTCGATTCCAGATTCCCTATGAATTACGAAGAGAGGAATTCTGCAAAAGCAATAAATTATATGCAGAACACACGTGCATGCACTTGCACGCGTGCACTCACACATACAAACATGTCTACCTGCTAACTCCCCCTTGCCCGGCTTTGAAATCCTACGTGGCACGTGGACCTTCCAGGTCATTTTCCTAGGGAATTGTTAAGTACAATCTTACATTGCTTAACAACAGGGATACATTCCGAAAAATGCATTGTGAGGCAATTTCAGCATTGTGTGAACACCACAGAGTGCACTTACAGAAACCTAGATGGCATGGCACAGCCTAGCACATACCTAGGCTATGTGGGATGGCTTATTGCTCCTAGTCTACAAACCTGTACAGCATATCAGTACACTGATATGTACAGTGTAATATAGAAAAGGTACAGTCAAAATACAGTAAAAAGATAAAAAAAAGGTACACCTTTTTATCTTTATAAAATATTAAAAAAAAAATGGTACTTACCATGAATGGAGCTTGCAGGACTGGAAGTTGCTCTGGGAGAGTCAGTGAGTGGTGAGTGTGAAGGCCTAGGGCATTGCTGTACGCTACTGTAGACTTTATAAACACTGTACGCTTAGGCTACACTAAAATTTTATAATCCATAAATTTTTCTTTGTTCAATAATAAATTAACCTCAGCATAAAGTAACTTTTTTACTTTATAAACTTGTGAATTTTTAAAAAACTCTTTACTCTTTTATAATAACATCTGGCTTAAAACACAAATGCATT